TAGACCGATCGGGTGCGAATACACTCCGCGGTCGGCCAATTCGGAAGGCATATCCGACGATCGGCAGCACGTTCGTTTGTTCGTTTAGCTGCCAGATCCGTCAATCTGACCTCCTAGCTCGTTCTTCTGACAGCCAAACTCATCTTTCTGACGCCCGCGCCTGTCCGTCTCAGGCGCGCCGGGATCGCCGCAGCTGGCGGCATGTCACCGTCCGTGTTACCGCTAATTGGCGCCTCCGGTGCGCTGTCAGCTCGCGCCAGGCCGGCCACGTGACGTCACCGGGCGCCGGTGCTCCGTCTCCGCGTCAGCCTGGCTGGTGGGTCGCGCCCGCCGGGCCGAAGGATTGGCACACGCTCTCCAGAGGCAGATCAGAATCACGCTGCAGAGGTAAGGTCGCTGTCGTCTGACCGCTCGGCCGGTACATTAGACTGAAAGCGAGGAAACGTGCGTGCGCTTTTAGCTGACAGTGGTCCAACTGTTCAGCAGTCGGGGTTCTATCGACTTAAACTCAAGGATATCGTTGAGAAGGGACTAGGAAGCGTAACTTGTATGCTGTGGTTTTGAGGGGGCAGTGAGCATCATCCTCAGTTTATGTCTACCTTTCACCGCATAGACGGCTCCAAACCCTTGACATAGGTTAACGTAGGTCTGTTCAGTGCTTTTAGAAAACGCAAACAGAGACGAACACTTCGGCATTTTGTCGGCAGCGACTACCTTCTCCAGTCGAACCGACCAGCCGCATGGCCGGTTGTAAGGGGGTATCCATTCCGCCTTGGAGGTCAGAGTCAGCCTGGAAGGCGATGCCGAGGCTCAGAGAAGACATTCCACTCAGCCTTCGAGGTCATCTTTGGCGGGCGCGACTCCACATATTTGGCTCGGAGATACAGTCAGCCTGTCAGCCTGAGCCCAACAAGTCCGGAAAAACAACGGCCTCCGCCGGCCTTTCAGCGAACCGTCCAATTTTGCAAGTGGCTGGCGTGTGACATCGTGTCACGCACAAATCGCTGGTCGAACTGGCCGAGGAATTCCAGCTCCAAACTTCGGAGAAACATCCGTCTTCTGAGAGATCCGGGCAGAACACAGCCTGGACATAGCGCCGACGCGAGCCTTCACGCTCACCGCTAGCCCACACGAACTGAGCACCTCACTTAGCCCTGACCTATGCCGAGCCACACGCCGGCACACAAATAGCCGCCGCCAGCCTCCTCGCCGCCGGCCGCCGCCTCAGGCCGTGACGGCGCCCCGCCTGCGTCCCGGTCCCGCGAGCCCCAAAGGCCGGCCGGCCGGGCGCGGCGGGCCGCCCCGCCGGCATCCATCAGGCCTAATGCGGGCGTCACAATGGCCAGGGCGCGCGCGACACGCCGTCCTGCGCGCTCCGTCGCGTCCGTCGACGCGGCCCGCGCCGACCGACGATCGACGGCCGATCCCAGCGTCGAAGTCGACGAGGAGAGAGCGGAGGGACACGGATGTCGTCGGCGTAGTGAAGGCAGCGTGAAATGAAAGGAAGTGGGAGAGCGTGACGGCCCCCGGCAAGGCGATTTGAAACGAGATGGCTCGCGAGGCAACGTCTACATAACGGTTATGTGATTGGATGCACTAGATCACACGTTACAATGACTTTTACACACACTCATATATATTACCGTGAGGAGTCGGGACTGGATCGTGCCCTCGTGAAGCAAGTCGGAACATTGTTGTCTCTGGCAAGCCTGTACCCAGTGTTGTAGGCGAACCGGTCTTCGCCGCCGGCACACTGCCGTCCGTCAGCATGATAACAGCGCGCAGCGGGACGCCAGCTCTGTTCAACACAGGTCGTGTCCGGTGAGCATGCTGACGGCAGGACGAACAGCGGAGCGGCGTGCTTTGGCCGTGTCCGGCGGACACCGTGAAGCCGGCGTCAGCATGCCTTGTAACTGGGAGGGGTGGTGTCAAACATCCAGAACCGACTGAGATTAGAAAGAACACGCCGCCACGGGTCGGCTATGGGAGTGCTAGATTGGTGCCTACGGGCAAGAAGATATTCACATATATATATATATATATATATATATATATATATATATATATATACGGTGCAATTTTTTTAGTGATTTTGTTAAAAAGTGTCCGGCCGCTGACGTCCGATGGAACATTTTCGTTAGCTTTCTCATAGCCGACGAGTTCATGAAACTGGGTCGTCGAAAGACACGATTCCCTACGTAAGCCATTGACGATTATCGCTGGCCTGCCCTTCAAGCACAGGTCGGAGCGGCGATGACAACAAGATCGTTTCTCGCCGCCTTCCATACGGCCTGCGTATTTTATCCTTCACCCGAACGTCCATCCGCGCCGCTTCGCCGCGGTGTCCCCGGCCCGACGACAGAGGCGGGTCCTGAGGCCCGGGCGGAGCTTCTCCCGCGCGTCACGAGCGGACCGGCCACGCCGCTGGCTGATCGTGACCACGCCGCCGCCGGCGGGGGTCCAGCCGACCCACGTGAGACTGACTCTGGCCAGGGGCTCCGGAACCGACCCAAGCGTCTTAACGCCAGCCGTCAGGTGAGGGCGGGACAGCGGCACCTGGTGACGTGCCGCGCAACACCGGAAGAGCCGGAACCTTCGCGAGGAGCCCGCTGGGTGCGACCACACGACCACGTCTCTGCAGCCGAGAGAGATGTCTCTCGTTACTTGACCTGTGGTCAGTAATCTTTGGCGGGGCTGATCACAAGAATCAGGAAGAAGTCATGGCTGCGAGACTTGGATGATTTGCATTGAGCAGAATTAGTTTTACTGAGCATCGACAACACCGTAATGGCTCTCGCTGCGCGGGTAGCCCGTTCATTGGAAGCCAGGGAGCGGCCTATGGTATCTATTTAACATGACCGGCGGGAAGCACAGCGTCTCTTGGCCAGACATTTTTAGATGGACATGACGTTGCCAGGCATGTGAATGTGTTTGTCTGACCCAGCCGCAAATTTATGTGTGGGGGCATATGCACCGAACTAGCGTATGGGTCTTAAACGATCACCAGCTGTCCGGCTGGCGAGCTATTAACAGCTTCTTAAGCCCAGCGTGATTCTTATGCCATCCAACAAATTAAGTGTGTTTAGATAGACGTCGGCTGTCGTCGTCAGTCAGGCCCACAGAAACCCGCGTGTCGGCTGCGCAGTGCAGCCTGAACACCCGGTGCCGACTTAAACGAGTACCGTACTCCAGGCCGTGCGGTGCGATCATGGGACCAAGTTCCTAGAGTACTCTGAAGCGGTCGTGAGAAGCACTCATCATGCAAATGAAATATCACTATCGAGGCCGTTCGAACGTCTGAAAATAGACTTTCTGACCTGAAGCCACATGCAGCTGTAGCGATGCAAACACCTTAAAATCAGTTGACCAGTGATCAGTTCAGAAATCACCTCACCACGCCAACTCCCACTCTGCCCACGCCAGAAGACCTGGCGTGCAGAGGTGCATGCACCGACCCCGTGCACACACCCGCCTCTGCGGCGGTCAGTGCATGCCACCTGTCCGCATCACAGCGCCGCCGGAGGCCGGGCAGAGAGCGGAGAGTTCGGGTCCACGCACGTCTGCTCCGGCCGGCCTTTTACCAGAGACAAAAACGGCACAGAACGCGGACAAAAACGCCTCCGGCGGTCGGACGCGCCACGTGTAACAGATCCGGACCGGCCCGCAGACCGGGTCCGGCTGAGTCCAGTCGGACCCGGCGCAGAGGATGAGACAGGCTCCGTCGGGATCCTCCCGCCGTGACCGTGTCCCTCTGGACCCGGCGCGGGGTGTGGCAGTCCTCCTCCGGTCCCCCGAGTCAGGAGCGGGCCGCGCAGTCCGGAGTCAGAAGCGGCCGGACATCAGCCGGCCGGATCCGACAGACGGAGTGCTCGTCGCGGTGGCTACACGTGCGAAAAGGACAGCTCCTTCCCGGATCCAAAACGGACAAAATCGCGCCGGCGTAGACCCGGCCCCTTGGCCGTGTTGGACAGAAATCGACACGCTGGCCGATACGTGGCCGTATGTTCAGGACGCCGAACATGACCCCGCGTGCGAGTTGTGTGACGCCCGGCCGCTGCTCGGACGTCACTGCGCGTCATGTCGTGTGGCGTCAGAGCCCCCAAATCCATCATGATTCTGACTTTGGTTGGCTGCCCAGTAAAGCCCCTGCCGTCCGAAGGAGCCCCGACGGTTTTCCATTTACGGGACACCGCATCAGATTTCACTCCATCTTCTCGACAATCGAGGCGGTCTCGGCTTTCATGCCGCCGAACATCAACCCCACAGATAAGGCTGAGCTGGACCACGCCATCAGAAAAAGCGCGCTGAAGACGGACAAAAGCCCCTTGCGCTCCCAGCGTCTATCCACGTCATCACGCTGCGGCGAAACACTGAAATACTGCCCTGCCAGGGTGGTCCTGCAACCAGAATTACCGGCCGGTTTTGGACGATAACCATCGTCGATTATAACTCAGTAATAGCAGCCGGAGTATTGGCGGCTTGACAAATGTGGCTGTTGCCTTCACCGGAGCAGTAGATCAGATTGGCTGGGGCCCGCCGGCAGCTCCATACATCAGCGGCTGGTTCTAACGCTCATCGCCGGGAGCTGCCGGTACATCGGGGATGCTATTTCCCCTGAGAACGTGCTGGCATGGCACCAAGGCCAGCCCATGTTAAGCCTCCTCTCATGAGCCGAAGATAGGCGAGCGCAACAACAAGCGTTCGCGGCAAAGCACTCTGCTCAATATCCACGGTTTCTTTTCACCTCCATATAGCACTGAACGGTCAGTGTACTACCCAGAGCATACTTGTTTCAACTCATAAGCACTTACCATAGGCTGCGGAAATTCAAAGCAAGGACGTGGAAATGATTCCTCCTCTGGCACGGCCAAATAACACCATCTCTCCGTTGGCAGGACCACACTAGATGTAAAACGAGCACCAAAACAGACCGTGAATGTCTGTCAGGTCGCGACCACGACTTGCACCACCTCAGCCAGCCAAATGGCCCGAGCACCCACCTGTGGCATGCCGAGTCCGTTGAGCGGAAGACACTGCTCCTCGACGCGCTCCACGGCGCCGGTGCGCTTGTTGCGCTTCTCGGCCTCCAGCGCCAGGTACAGGTCAAGCACGGGCACGCCACGCGACCGTACGTCACTCTCGGGTCAGCGTGTTCACCATCAAGCATCACCCAGACGGGTCGCTTCTGCTGCCAGTTGCCGGTGATGGCGTTGAAGAGGTAGTCGGCGTAGAGGCCGCGGCGCGCTGGTCGGCCGTCATCCAGAGCGGCATCATGTGGCGCACGTAGTCCAAGTGCTTCTGGAGTCGCCGGTAGATATCACTGGGGAGCAGCTGGTCCAGGCGGGAGCCGCGCGGTAGCAGCTGACACTTGGTGAGCGCCGAGACGGTCTCGGAGTTGGTCAGGTCCAGCTCGAAGAACACGGCGTCGGACAGGTGGAAGGCGCGTTTAACGTTATCCGGAATGTGACTCCAAACGCGGTCGTACGGCACGTGGATCGTGCCGAAAAAGTAGGACGGCGGAGAAGTGTTGATGCGCCACAGGAACGATGACTGACGAGTCTGCAACAGGGCGGCGCTGAGTCATCGGCAGGCACGCCGCGAGCTCTCTTCTCATGCGATTCGCCGGTGGTCTGTTAAACAATATCAAGATCTGTATCATCCCCGAGCCCGGCGATCATATGGAAAAGATGCTCCGCGGAATGAGTCATGGCGTTTGATGTGAATGAACTCGTGAAAGCAGAAAAACCATTATTTAAGCGCACCAGGCACGGAGCGGTAAATACCACCCGTTGCGAGCAGAGCCTGTACTCAAACACCCATCCAAAGAAACGAACACTGCGAGGTGATTAACGCTATCGCTCTATCTGAAAACCAGAAAGAGCGCGCGGGTCTTGGGCTTTCGCTGTCTATCACCTGATCTAGTTAGTTCATTTGCCTCACATAATTGAAGGCAGCACCTACACGCGCCACCTGTCACCCCCGATCTCCGAGGCGGCGAGTCACGTCACTAAGCCCACATCCGGCAGCGGTGCCAGACGGGACAGACGCCCAGAAGTGTTATCTTTCGATTCCCGGCCTGAGCCGGGCCGTCACCGCCCCCCCCCCCCTTCGCTCGGCGCCGGATGGTGACAGGTGGCTAGCGGACGTCACCAGCCATCAGCCGAGGCATCACTGACAGCCGTATCAGACACCCCTGTGGGCCCCTGTGGGACGCACGTGATTTCCTAGAGATGGTTTGCATGTGAAATTTTTGCTTACCAGCACCACACGTGTCGCCCTACAAATACAATGTACAGTATACGCTCTGTGTACACACACATACGCGCATATATACAAATTATACGAATTTATACATATGTATACATATACGCTTTCAATAGTCTTTACTATCTCAATCATATATGTTCGTATCATAATGAGTGCTCTCTAGGG